TAATTGTCGACACCAACTGGTCGCCGTTTTTATCGTGAATTATTTCCAGCTGCTTTAGCGAACACTTATGCTTAAAGGTGGTATAGATGCGATGCAACATTTTTCGTCGCGTGTTTCTTGAGGTTTTCAAATCGTAAATTTCTTCTGTTTTTCAGTGCGTTTGAACTTTGAAGTGCTTCTGATTTTTTATAGCCCTTAAAAATGTAATAATTGAAATCATGTCAAATCCAGTAATAGATGCACCTGTCCCAGGACTTGATCTTCGATAATAGGGAGTATTTAATGGGACTCGAATTCTTTTTTTACGAGGAACTATTCGCGAAGGAGTTGGGGTCTGTAATTTAATTAATTTCATGAGGATTTTGAAAAACTGTCGGCTTTCAAAGAATATTCCCTTAAGAAAAAGAAATTATGAAAGCTTCAATTAATATTCTGTCACTGGCTATTTCAGTCCGATTTTCCATCAACTTTTCCAATTAAAACTTCGTAATCCACTTTCAAATAAACGTTTAATCGGATTGCTTTTGGATCGCTTTGCTTCATTTTCAAGTCATGATGTAACTATTTTTGTCGAAAAATTATGATTACCTGTACTGTATTGTAGTATAGTGCTATATTATGCATCTCCAGTAAAATTCAATTTATTAAATAAAAATCTTGAAAATTTTGGAAACAGGGAGATAATTTCATTGAAACTAAAGCATTTCAAAACATTGATTCTGCTGGATATCGTTTCAAAAAAAATTTAAATTTCGTAGACTTTCAGGTGTTACTTGTTATTTTTCACATTGAAAATCATGATCTCATGGACGTTCGAAGCTGGAGTGTTGAAAATTTCAAGAAGCCCAGTTTCAAAGAGAGTAGCATGCCCTTTTTATCGGTTTGGAGGACATGTTTGCTAGCCAGTGTGACGAAGATATCAGTTTGAAGAATTCTCACAAAACACTTTATCCGAAAGGTCAGCAAAACTTGGACTTTTCAAACCGTCAAGAATCAAGAGTGAGCTATTGAAAAGAACTCAATACGGTAATGCAAATACCGGTACTGCGAGTCAGATTCGAAACAGTACTTATTTGGCCTGAACTTTTATGAAGCCAGATTGAGGGTAAATATAGACAGAAAGAGGGCGAGGTTAACGTAGAAATACAGATGATTCGTGCTTAGAAGTGAAATTTTTCAGATGCGGATAAAAATTCATGCATAGATTCAAAGTCGATGAAATTACATTTTCGTTGAGACCAAATTCAGCATTTTCTGCGTCTCACTAGGTGGTCTCCACATTATGTAGAATTTAAATGCTCAATGCTTAAAATGCCGTCTCAATCTGATTGCAAACGAGCGGCGGGATTTTTTTTCATGAGGAACTTTACTTTCCAGATTCATTTTTCGTAATGATCGTGATGAGACACTTATCGAGTTCAGGTCACTTATTTTACTGCGAGAGCTTATAATTTTTTATAGATGATCCTTTCGTGTGAATTTCCAGAGACGTGCGAGAATTTATTTAATCGAAATTCGCACGGCATTGTAATACATTTCCTAAAAGGACGGCCTTTTGTAGTAATTCACTTAAGAAGAGTCGTACTGCCACTATATAAAAGAGAAAATTAGAGACGTTAAAGTAAGTCGGATAGATTACTACACACGAAGGGGCTTTTCATGTCATGGATGTTTTTCTGGAAGCATGCACGAAAATGGATCAGACCATGGATATTTTTATGCAGATATTTTCAATTCTCTCATTAGTATATATATATATATATATATATATATATATATATATATATAGTTTTGCTGTGACTGACCATTAACAATTCATTTAAGAATTGTTAGTCACTCCTGTTAAGTCCAACTTTTGCACGAACCTAGCAACCGTTTTCGCAAATGTTCATTTCAAACGGGCTTATGGCTTTTCTTGAAATTGTATACCAGACAGCTTTCTAAGAAAAACGGGAGAGCTTTTACTTTGGCCATTTTAAATATGGTTGACTCCCTTAAAGTCGATCTTCGAGGGACCAGGGACAGATTCCGAGCTACGGAATTAAGAATTTTCATTGGGGAAATTAAATGAAGAACTGCAGAAATGTCAAATTGGAGATATTCTATGCCTTTTGTTGCTTCTTGAATGATTTGACAGGATGGTGAAATTAAAGAAAAGGTTTTATTTACCCAATTAGTTAATCATTTCCTTTAAAAATCAAGTTACATTTGTATTGCTTTTCTCTTTCTTGTGTAAAAAAAAAATAGCCGAATGGCCTTCAGAAAAATCGGCTTATGGTAGTTTCAAGGGGAAAGCCTGTGAGTTAGGGAGATTTCTAATGCATTGTTTATAAGGAAATTCAGGCCGACTTTGAAAAAATTTGACCCTGGGAAGTAAAGTATTCGACTGAGAGAAGTTCGAGTTACTGAGGTTCAACTGTATCATACGTTCACATTTTCATGAATTACAACGGTTTGAAAATCGGTTCATTGTCTTTTTAAATTTCATCATTGGCCTTTCCGATGTTTGCAAACCGTTTCAGTGATCTTGAGAGCTTTACGGGAGGCTCAAGTGCCTAAAAAATTTCCCGAAGCTTCCAAGAGTTTTTGCTTTCAAAAATGTCATACTTGGTTGACGGTGTGCAGTAAAATTTGCACAAAAAAATCTGCCTTCATTTTTGCGTGCGTTGGTGCGTAGCGAATGTGATATGATTTCCATTTGCTCGCCCTCAATCTGCTGTGAAGGCTGGACAAGAATAAAAATGAGCGTTGCAGCGCAATTGCGACACGGTCCTCGCATTCAGCCATTCTATTCAAAAGATGGGATGAGCTTTTCTCGGCTATAACGACGTGATTCTCAGCCCAGGGGATGATGAAATGCATCGTTCTCTTTTTGCATCCGACCATGGCGAAAGCTTTTCTTTATTTTTTATTTTTCTTGCTGCCCGCTTTGGGAAATGTGCGACGGAGGAAGAATATTCGTCACGGGCCTTTTTTGTTTTTGTTTGTACGCACAAGCATAAACGTCCTCGTTGAAAAAGGGAGTTTCACGAAGAACAGCGACGAAAAATGGCCCTCAATCACAAAGAGGTGAAAAGCCGCAATTATTTCGGCTCGGAAATTTTTACGCGAAAATATTGTGAAATCGTCTTTCTGTGACGGAAGGTGATGGGACTAATTCCTTGCTTCCCCGATTACATGAACCTGCAGGGTATTAAAGTGAGAGCAACGGAAATCTGTGTCAAGAATTTTAAGAGCGAGGAAGAAATCTGTTCAGGTTGACTCTCTCTGCGCCGAAATTTCAGGGACCAGAAAAAATTCGTTCTGGAAAGAAATTTTTCATGGAGAGCCTTTATGATATGAGTACAGACCCCTGCAGGGAAAACAAATCGCGATTCAGAGAAAATCGTTGCCGAGAGAGGGTCCAACTGTTTCAATATTCGAGCGTCGTGCGTTTTTTTTTTTTCTAAGGGAAAATTTTGGCGTTAGGATATGTATATATTTTTTTTTTGCTGGGTGAAAAATGTGATACTGTAGTATTATTTTAGCTGGAATTGAATTAGTTTACTTTCGGCAAAGTAAAACCGTGCAACTTATTTGGTGAAGAGTTGCGACGAAGATTGCGGTCGACCAATTTCAGGTAGAAAACTCATCGAGATTTTTCTCCTCAAAGCATGTTGTGTTCCGGTTTTTTGTCTCATGGATTTCATTGGTCGTGTTCGACGTTAGTGGTTTATTGTTGAGGAATTCAAATGGAATTCACGCATTCGGGATCAAAATTATGGATTTTTTTCCTTCTGTCGGGCTTCTGTATTCCATCGAAGCATAAAGCCACGAAAATCCATCGTTCGCCGTTTTTGAATCGAAAGCAGAATTGCCTGGGGAATCAACAATGTTTTTTTTAAATATTCTTATGATTCAGTTAATAAGCTGGAATTATTATTTAAAAATGATTTGGCGTGAAATCTTATGATTAATTTGTGATACTTCAACGAAAGTTCATTTTTGTAATGTTTTAAATTGTCGATTCACATTACGCAAGAACGTAAAATTGTGTCTTCGTGAAAATCATCCTATTTGTTTCGCGCATATAAATTCAACTTGTATTCCAATTTTTTTTTATAATTCAAAGTGAAAAAGAAACGAGTATATATTGGCTTTCAAGATCATTCTTATTTTTCGTGGTTGCTGGTCTTGGCTTCCGGACGTCAGAATTTCTACTTGTGTGCATTATATCCGACCGGGCAACCTCTGCTCGTTCGAAAATGAGGAACTTCGTGAAGAAATTGTGTCGAAACTTCCTGCTGTTCTCGAAAGGAGTCAGTCGGAAGGTGCTTCTGTTTTGAATGCCTCAAGGTAGACATTTTCGATTTCCTTAGTCGCTCCTACCATCTGCATATTCAACGTTTTGACTAGACGTACTGTATTTGTCACGCGTTGACGGGTCTGCGAAGCAATAAAACCCGTTCTCGAATTGTTCGCATTATGCTGTTGGACATCGTGCATTTTTTTTACTGCTGCCACGGAAGAGATTATATGGCTTTGGCCAGAATGAAAAGAACCGACGAAGTTATGAACGTTTCGAGAATATTTGAAATGGACTTCTGCTTTAATTCTGTTTCAAGTTATTCGTGTTTTTATTATCCAAGTCATTGTTGGGATGCGATGAGGGAATGAATTTTCCGCGAGAAACTTCCGCATCAGATTTATGAATTTTTGAGATTCAGTTCCGGCAAGGTGGAAATATCATGAAGCCCGCGGTTGTTTTTCGTTTTGTTTTTATTAATAAAAGCGTATGAACTTGAGGACTGAGACAGCTTATCCTTAGCCATACGTTTTGTGATGAAATACGATTAATTATCAAATCCTGTCGGCGTAAGATGGGATTCGAGTTGTATTGTGCCGAAATCGACGGATGGTTTGAAATGTTCAATACCCACCGATGAAGTACAGTACAGTACTAGCTTTTTTGCGTGGAGCGTCATCTTTCACGTTGGACTCGAACTGAATTTCGTTTTCAGATCGTTCCATGGAGACGGAGTTGATGTACAAGGTGGCCGAATTGCAGAATAGGCTGAGCCACGCGGAAATGGTAAACCGCGAGCGAAAGGAAGACGTGCTTGACCTTTCGGAGAAGATCCAGCGGCTCAGGTCGGGTCGTCCGGCGGGTCAGTTTTGTAACGTTTTCTGCATGCATTTCGCGTAGTTCGTAGCCTTATTATTTCTCAAAGGCTGTTCTATTGTATTATATCGGGGTTTCCTTCCAATTTCCTTTTATTTTGCTGGCCGTGAAAGCTTGTGGTGTAGAATTTTTCCGAACCTGTTTCCGATTTTCACGTAATTTCAGTAATTTGTTGCTGTTGTTCTGTCCGTTTTAATGCATTTTACTGCATGAATTCCGCGTAATTAACATCATTTTTTGTAATGCCGTTATATTATCGTATTTTGGGTTTTCCTTTTTGAAGATTTCTTTTACTTGGCTGGTCGTGAAGCTTGTGGTGTAGAAATTTCTCCAAGCCTGTTTCCGATTTTCACGTGATTTCAATAATTGTTCGATGTTGTTCCTGTAAGTTTTGTGACATTCAATGGATGCATTTCGCGTTGTTGGTAGCTTATTATTTTAGTGATTTATTTTATAATATTATTTCGGCTTTTTTTTGCTGGCCGTGAAGCTTGCGGTGTCGACTTGTTTAGAGCCGTTTCCGATTTTCACGTGATTCTAATAATAGTTCGCTGTTGTTTCCTTTAGTTTTGTGACATTTCATGCATGCATTTCGTGTAGTTCGTAGCCTTATTATTTTTCGACGGCTGTTCTTTTGTATTATGTCGGGGTTTCCTTCCAATTTCCTTTTATTTTGCTGGCCGTGAAGCTTGTGGTGTAGAATTTTTTAGAGCCGTTTCCGATTTTCAAAAAAATTGGGAAATTTTTTGCTGTTGTTCCCGTTTTTTTTTTTTTTTAATTGATGCATGAATATCGCGTAATCGGCATCCTTCTTTTTTAATGCTGTTATTCTCGTATTTTGGGGTTTCCTGTTATTTCCTTTTACTTTGCTGGTCGTGAAGCTCTTGGTGTAGAATTTCTCCAAGCTGTACAGGTGTGTGACATTTAATTGATGAATTTTGCGTAGTTGGTAGCCTTATTATTTTTGCATGATTTCCTCGATCGCAGTAGTCCGGGGTTTCGTTCTGATTTCCTTGTATTTTGCTGGCCGTGAAGCTTGTGGTGTCGAATTTTTTAGAGCCGTTTCCGATTTTCACGGAATGTCAATACTGTATTTGTTCGCTGTTGTTCCTGTCCGTCTTGTGACATTTCATGCATGGATTGGCAGTCTTATTACTTTGGAAAAAGGCTATTTTATGGCATTATTTCGGCCTTTCCTGCTTGTTTTCTTTCATTTTTTGCTGGTCGTGAAGCTTTTGGTGTAGATTTTTTCCAAGCCATTTCCGATTTTCACGTGATTTTAGTAATTGTTCGATGTTGTTCCTGCATGAATTTGTAGTCATATTCTTATGACTAATATCTACTGAAGTCATGATGATGATTCATGACGATTCGAACTAAAGCAGAGTTGAAAGAAGAAGGCTTACATTTTTTTTAAATTTAATCTGTTTTTGAGACGGAATTACTAACTTTTTCAGGTTTTGAATGTTTTTGTGCAGACCGAGAGCCTTGAACTTGTAGAATAGATATTAAAATCAATGATTGGTAGAAGATTGAGAACGTTTTGCTATTCAACGAAGGCGGAAACATTTTTCCAGATTCTGGCGATATTGTCATTTTCATTTTGCTAGGTGGTCTTCTTGATAACCAACACATTCAAGGATGACTTTGGGAAAATAACTGGCACGAATATTGATGAATATTTTACTAGCGAAATATATGGTGAGTCTTTTTTTTTAGAGGAATGGAATGTTACTTTTAAAATTTAAAGGATTCTTCGCTCGGGTATGGCTTTAATTGAACAGGAATATTTGATAACTGGCTCGTAAGTTGCGTTTGTCTTATTGTAGGATTAATATGGCCGTAACTGTTTTCCAGAATGCTGAAAGTAATGAATTGCTGAAGTCCTGGCCGCTGCTTCAATCTTCATTCACTAAGATTAAAGATAGGCTGCGCAAAAATATTGAAAATTTTTGACATCATCTTTTGAGACGGTGATTGAACTTCTATGACTGATGATTTTTCCAACAGTTGAAAGACAGGAATGATGAGAATAATCGTTGAAAATCTACGTAAAGTGACAATGCTCCACCTTCTGCTCGTCTCGCGAGGACAAAATATTCAAATTTATGATGTTGTGGTTGTAATACGGAATGTGAAGATTGTTTTGAACCTTGCGTTCTTTGGGCAACGGTTTCCGAAAGTTCTGAGCGGGAATTAAAAAAGTTTCACGGATATTCACTTCATAGTTTTCATTGATCTCAGCATTATGTTGATTCTGTATCTGAGAGCCCGAAGTTCATCCAGGGATATTTGTAGTCTAATTCGAATGTATAATACTTACTAATAATTGATGTTCTCTCGCTAAGAATTGTATCACAATATGCTTCAAGTTATTCCAATGCTAGCCTGTTCATCTTTTTGAGCATTCTCTTTGAAGGAATGTCGCAATAAATATGTGAACACTGATTCAAATTGGTACTTGTGTGCGATCCCATGACCCCAGTTGGCCCAGTTTATAAATACTGTACAGGTACTTTGCAACTGCTCTCCCTAACTGGCGTGTTTGCAATGAATTGCTGTAGGTTTTTTTCAAGTACATTGCTTGCTTATTGAAGTATAAAGTCGGATATAGAAACTCCTGGAAGTCTATTTTTCAATATCTCTGACAGGTCAAGGAAAATGATTAAAGCCCTTGAGTACTAGCACTTGCTAAATTTTAAGAAATATCTCAGATACAGCTCACACAGGGTATTAAATCTGCGTAATAGTGATTGAAGTAGTCGGGTTTATTTCTGAAAGAATCACGGCAACAAATGTTGGCAGCCGTTTCTTGTTTGCTGTTTTATTGTACAGTATTTTGGACGGTTTTCCTCGTTTGGTGTACAGTACAAGTATAATTTTGTAATTTTTTTTCTTCATGGTGTAATTCGGGTTTCTCGTTTATTTTCCTAGCTTTGTGTTGGTTCTCAAGCGTGTTCTTGAGAATTTCTGTTCCGTTCCTGATTTTCACGTGAATGGATAACGTTATTTCTCGAATTTTTTAATGTCTCACTGTAGTCGATTTTGCATTCTCTTCATCTCGTCTAGTTTTCTTTCAAGTATCCTTTACTATATTATCGTTATATTCTTCTGTTTTAGTCTTGGAAAAATGCTGGATTCTTTCAGGAAAAGACGTGCTCGAATGGTGTACTTCCCGCGGTAGTTTAGTCAGTTTCCTTTTTCCATCAGTGTAGCATCTTTGGACTGACTGCTGATTCCTTTAGTCCCAAGCAAAATGTAAGTTTTGTGCAAAATTAGTCCTGCGAGTCTCACTCCATTTTTCATGTTGCGTGTTGCAAAAATGAGCTGGCAAACTAACCGAAGATGGACGGGAAGCTCGAGTCTATTTTCCCGCACTCGAATCCACTCTTACCGCGATCATATTCGATCAAATTTTTTTTTGATTTTTCTGGATTTGACCTAGAATTCTAGCAGTCAAGTAATCTTCTAGTCCGTATTCAAACTTCTGCGTTTTGAGAAGGTGTCACCTGAATAATTGACCCGAAAAACAGGATCTGACCCGGGTTAGACTTCCCTAAACTAACCTAATTTACTATAGCTAATCATAACCATGTAACTGCGCAAAATGTGACAATTCTCTCGCGGATTCAGAACTGGGTGCTAATAAATAATTTGGAAATGAGGGCATAAAACTTCCCATCAAGAAAGTCGTTTTCCAATAGTACTAGGTGTTGAAATGCAGATTTAATAATTTTTGAGTGATTAGCAGTACTTTCGCAAGTATGCACCGCTGAGAAGGGTGAAAAGTCGTTGCATTCTTGGCCTGCTTGCGCAACTTGAAACGCGGATGTTGTGCAAGAGCAGGAAGTTATCGTGTGTTTCCGTGATTACGTTAGTTCGCATAAGATTTGAGGTTACCTTCTTTTCTTCTCTAACCATTTCCTTTTTTGTGGTGAATGTCTCTAAGTATTTATCCTCAGCTGCATGATTCTCAGTAAGAAAAGAGCGAAAGAAAAATTATTGTTCATGTGCACGTTTTCCTGATGTCTGCTTGTGTCTTGCATGTATTGTGTAGCCCTATTTTCGTTTTTTTTTTGTTGAAGAAAGATGGTAAATATTTTAGTGGCTTCATCTCGGATTTGAGTCATCGGTGCCTTTCTTAGTTTCTTCAACTATAAATTATCGTAAAGCCGGCATTTAAGAATGCATTTTCGAAACTTTTAGGAGAACGGAAGCAAAAGTTCGGCAACGACAAATTGGACGAAGAAGAACATCGGATTGGGAGAGGTGCGTTGTCGTCCGGAACTATTGAAGAATCGGCCATTTCAACATCTGTCCTTCAATCGAATGACGTGTCCATGCCCAGTTTCTACCATTATTTGCCACATCTGCTCAATTTTCCTGGAGCTTTGACACCTGCTTTCAAACTGGGAAAAGATCGATCGCAAGGTTGGTTGAAATTTTCTGCATGCCTGCCGATTTTTATTTTGGAGCCGGTCGCCTTACCAAGTTTTTTGTTATTTTACAGTTGTGTTATGTACAGTAAAATCTCGTCACAACGAAGCGTTTGAGACCTTGAAAAAGCTTCGTTGAAGCGAAATTAAAGTAACATTGTTGCTATTGGTCAGGGACCCTTAGAACCAATTTGTTGTAAGCATCAATTCGTCATGAAGATATTTGTTGGAGCGAGATTGTACCGTATATGAGAATAGAAGCGTTGACTTTTAATTTTATTTGTGTTGCGTGTAAAAAGCAGCGGCCTTTTTCTTTTGTGTAGACAACTCGTGTTTCAGGAAGTCGAGTTTCTAATTATAGTTCCTTGTACCCGTTTTCTGCTGCGGAATTCTAATTAGCTGCATGTGCGTGTGCTTCTTTTCCTTTTTTTTTCTCAAGTTTCTGTTGTTCTTGGAGTACCGACTGTGAAGAGACAAGTTCAGAGTTACCTGCTCAACACTTTGGAGAACCTCATTGAAAACATGGACAAGAACGAACGTGATGACACGCTCATTGTCGTCTTCGCTGCTGAGGTGTGCATGAAGTTTCTTTTTCATGGTTCTTTAATTTTGCGTAAAATTTTAAATGTTAAAAGTCTCGAGTTTGCGTGATTTTGTTGAACCTGATGTGAAGTTCTTGTCCGACATTTACTAGCATTGAGAAAATTTAATTCGTTTTCACGCCTGACTAGGGAATGTTATTTTTTATTGTTACAACTTCGGCTGAATTTCCATACGCTCTCTTATAAAATTAAGGTATTTTCTTAGTTATTTTCAGGATATGTTCACTTTACTTGTGTGATGTTTATTTGGGCTGCATAACTTGGTTTTCATTTTAATCAGAGTATTTTAGTAGTGCGATTGGTATAAAGTACTGCACTGTTCTGTATTTCTGCTAAATTTTTCATGATAGGAATAGTGATTCAGGCGACACCTGGCTGAAATTCGAGAAATGAGTTTCTTCCGTTAGGGGAAAGGAAATTCGGTTCAATGTTTTTATGAATTCGTGACTTTTCCGTTGATTGATACTTCCCTGTGGCAAATTTACTGCATTTGAATTGTGTCTATTGAGAAATGTGCTTGTGTTTCAGAGTAACAGATCATTCGTCGAAGGAGTCGCAAAGAATATACAGGGACGTTTTTCGGAACATCTTGCTTCCGGGCTCATTGAAGTCATTGCCCCGTCACCTCACTTCTATCCGAACTTATCTGCACTTCCTGCGACACTTGGTGATACACCTGAGAGGACGAGGTAATCGTCACTTCCGTTGACCGAATCTTGTTTCATTATTTCTCGGAAATTAGCAATTTGGTGAATAGAGCTAATTTCATGGTTGAGACTGATCCGGAAAAAGATGGAAGTGAGGGGGTTTATTTTTGGACCAGCGAATGCAATTCCTGTAAAATTTGTGCGATGCTTACGTTTCAAAACGCATTTCAGCTCTTCCAAGCATTCAAAACCCTTCCCCAGAGCTCGTCTTTTGCGAATTGGTAAGCATCAACAAAATTCCAATTGTGGTGAAGTGATTGCAATAAATAATTGGAATTCGGTAAAATTAGTGTCTGAATCACTGATGAAATCGATACATCTGGTATTTTAGTTGGTTTATTTTCATGATGCGAAAACGTTATTTTTAGGTTTGAATGTCAGAGACTTTTCTTCTTGAAAATGCGTGTGGTAATACAATATTGAACATACGTTTCCAGAGCATAGTAACTTATGCAGTGGTGACATTCAGTCTGATCCACCAATTTTTTGTTGTTGAAAAAGTTTTGATTCAAATTCAATTTGGAAATTTCCGAACCTGCGACTCTGCCCCTTTTTTTCACCAAGAGAAAAGGAGAATACCCAGCTGAAGTTTTTTGTTCATGTTATTACTCGCCGAATTTGAATAACCTGATGAATATTTTCGTGTGTTCGAAGTAGGATTGCCGGAATTTAATCAGCCAAAGGTAGAACAGCATTCGAATTACTGAACTCAGTGTATTTAATTCATTAATTGTATGCGAAATAATCGCCGTTATCGTCAAAGAAGATGTTAATTGGTTTCTTCCTTTGTTTTATCGTCGCAGATGGAGAACAAAGCAAAACCTGGACTTTGCTTATCTGATGATGTATTGTTTGCATCGTGGCACGTATTACGTGCAATTGGAGGATGACATTTTGTCGAAACCGTCGTTCATTACTACGATGAAAGCCTACGCAGCGAAGAAGACGGTGGAAAAGGTGCCTTGGATTATTTTGGACTTCTGTCAGCTTGGATTCATCGGTTAGTTCAATTGTAACGCAGTACTTTATTACTTCCTGTAAAATGCTGTTGCAGCGAATCTCTTTATAAAGAATTTTTCTCGGTCTCGGCAGGTTCGTAGTAGGGACAATGTTATTAAAAGTCGTTTTTGATATTTATTCCTCTCCAGCTATAATCTTAGTGCTGTATTACAATTTTTGCCATGATTGTGTAAAAAGCTAGAAGTGCTTGTTTTTTTTTGTGCAGGAAATTCGGTCTCTGAGTGGTTCCACACATTATCCTCCCAGAACGCAAAGATGGTATAGTGCAACTGATCGAATGCATGATTGAAGAATTTAATTCTTCTGAAGATCTTCAGTTTTTCAAATACTTTTACTGATGTTCCCAAGAGTTTGTAACGAGATTTTTCTGTATGTGCATAATGAAGTGTTCCATAGGTCGGTGGGAGTTCTTCGTGATTAAATTCAGGATATTTGAAGTGGTAATGCAGGCTATCTACTGAGGCTACATTGTTGCTGCTCCTTTGTTTTTCCAGCTTTTTACAAGTTCTGACGGGTCGAAGGACGCAACTAGGTGAAGAATGAGTACAAGATGCGGCTATTCGGCAGACTGACCGAAAACCTGTTGTACTATGTCTGCTTTCAAACAGCCAAGCTGGTCGGACCGGTGAGTCAACGGTTCACGCGTAAACATTTTCGGGAAGAGCTCATGAGTATTGGCTTCAGCTGAGGACTTGAGTTTGATATCCAGTATCTTTTCATGAATCACTCACGATTTTGTTCGATGATGTGTCTCGTCGAAACAGAAAGGTTGCAAGAAGAACAAGGAGGAAGTCTGGCTTCTTCACAAGCCTTCGTTGTTCCAGCATGTCGGAACTCATTCGTCTCTTGCCGGAAAGGTGCAGAACTTGAAAGTGAGTGAATTTGTGTCTGAATCTCTCGTCGCAACACCTTTTTCATGTGGAATCTTGCCTCAATTTAGGATAAGGGATTCGGAAAGGTTGAGTTGCATAAACCGCACAAGAATCCGCCTGCGACGGTTAATTCGGACTTGAAAGAATATCACAATAAGAATATCACAATTACAAGCTTCAGAGAGCGTATCTGGGCGAAACATACTTTTGGGGTCTTCTTCCGCAGCCTGGTGATGCTCTCACTTTCACCTTCACTCCGCCGTTGCGAATACAAAAGTGAGAGCTTTCTTCACACCATTTCATCCCCGGTTTCATGGTTACGAGGGGTCCAACAAATGTTCTCGGGAAAGAACTTGAAACGGAATACGACTGAGCCAAAAAACAATTACTCTTCAGAAAAATAAAAAAAAAATGTTGGCACGAGGAATAACAAATTCAGCTCAGTTTGACTATTTTTTTGGATTTTTTGCAGAAGTCATCCTTGCAGCTTTGTGCTCTTTACGCACAAGGTATTCTCGAAAATATGTTGAAATGGCATATGTCTGAGCTGGAAAACAATTAAAGTGATCAGAAAACCGATTTTTTGGCACAAGAAAAAAAAAAACAAATGAACAACCAGTGGAACTATTTTTTGGAATCTTTCGCAAAAATCACTCAGGCAGCTTTTTGCTCTTCTTTCGAAAGATGTTTCAAAAAATATGTTTTAGAATGATAAAAAATAAATATTGTTTGGGAAAAACATTTTTGGCGCTAAAAAAAAAATCCAGCTCCGTTTGAATATTTTGCAAACGTCACCATGGCAGCGCACTGCTCGTCAATCAAAAGATACATAGAAACATATTTATCAAAGAGGGGTAAATTTTTGTTTTATGTGCCAAAGAATGTTCTTTCTGCTCAGTAGTTCTTCAACTCGGTCGTATGCCGTTTCAATTTCTATCCCGAGAACTTTCGTTGTACCCCTCGTGTGTATCCGTTGGTTTTTACGTGTTTCATTCTGGTGTTCATTTCTTTGGCAGTACTATACTTGTAAATAAACTTCGATAAGCATTTGGAAGCAGTAATTTGAAAAATGGGGAACTCGAGGTTCCGTCAAGTCGAAAAAATTTAACAATACAGTACTTCGCTCGTGTAAACGTTATTCGGTTTCTGTCAGGTACTCAGGTGTCGCATGAAAACCTGACCCAACTTACCCGAGAGTTGCTGCAGTCATTTTTTTGAAATAAAATTACGTAATTTGAACCCCAAAAATGGCGGGTTATACTTACGTGAAGATTATTTAAAGATAAATTGTTTTCGAGTTGTGAATTTTCAAATCTTTCCTATGCTTGCAGGTATGTTTTGAGAAGTGGGAACAACGAGCATCCACTTGATCGGTTCTACAATACCACCGTGGAAGTTCTTCCCGTCGGTGTGCCAGAAAATGTTTCAAGTGTCTTTCCCAAGCTTTCGGATGGGTTCTTGGTTGTTGGTGAGTTCTCATCAAATGTTCCGTGTCATCGATGCAGTTAATGTAGGGCTTCGTTGTTCAATTGCGAACTTTTNGAAAAATGTTCAAGACTGCCCAGCTTCCTGCGTTGATCCACTTCTTACTCATGTTCTACGCCGATAAGCCGTCTGACTGGCTTTTGGACAACATGATACAGACGAAAGTTTGTCGGTTCGACCAGCCGCCGGTGAGTCAACGGTTCAACCGTAAACATTTTCGGGAAGAGCTCATGAGTATTGGCTTTAGCTGAGGACTTGAGTTTGATATCCAGTATCTTTTCATGAATCACTCACGATTTTGTTCGATGGTGTGTCTCGTCGAAACAGAAAGGTTGCAAGAAGAACAAGGAGGAAGTCTGGCTTCTTCACAAGCCTTCGTTGTTCCAACATGTCGGAACTCATTCGTCTCTTGCCGGAAAGGTGCAGAACTTGAAAGTGGGTGAATTTTTGTCTGAATCTTTCATCGCAACACCTTTTTCATGTGGAATCTTGCCTCAATTTAGGATAAGGGATTCGGAAAGGTTGAGTTGCATAAACCGCACAAGAATCCGCCTGCGACGGTTAATTCGGACTTGAAAGAATATCACAATTACAAGCTTCAGAGAGCGTATCTGGGCGAAACATACTTTTGGGGTCTTCTTCCGCAGCCTGGTGATGCTCTCACTTTCACCTTCACTCCGCCGTTGCGAATACAAAAGTGAGAGTTTTCTTCACACCATTTTATCCCCGGTTTCATGGTTACGAGGGGTCCAACAAATGTTCTCGGGAAAGAACTTGAAACGGAATACGACTGAGCCAAAAAACAATTACTCTTCAGAAAAAGAAAAAAAAAATTTTTGGCACGAGGAATAACAAATTCAGCTCAGTTTGACTATTTTTTTGGGATTTTTCGCAGAAGTCATCCTTGCAGCTTTGTGCTCTTTACGCGCAAGGTATTCTCGAAAATATGTTGAAATGGCATATGTCTGAGCTGGAAAACAATTAAAGTGATCAGAAAACCGATTTTTTGGCACAAGAAAAAAAAACAAATGAACAACCAGTGGAACTATTTTTTGGAATCTTTCGCAAAAATCACTCAGGCAGCTTTTTGCTCTTCTTTCGAAAGATGTTTCAAAAATATGTTTTAGAATGATAAAAAAAAGCCAGCTCCGTTTGAAATTTTTTGGAATATTTTGCAAACGTCACCATGGCAGCGCACTGCTCGTCAATCAAAAGATAAATAGAAATATATATATCAAAGAGGGGTAAATTTTTGTTTTATGTGCCGAAGAATGTTCTTTCTGCTCAGTAGTTCTTCAACTCGGTCGTATGCCGTTTCAATTTCTATCCCGAGAACTTTCGTTGTACCCCTCGTGTGTATCCGTTGGTTTTTACGTGTTTCATTCTGGTGTTCATTTCTTTGGCAGTACTATACTTGTAAATAAACTTCGATAAGCATTTGGAAGCAGTAATTTGAAAAATGGGGAACTCGAGGTTCCGTCAAGTCGAAAAAATTTAACAATACAGTACTTCGCTCGTGTAAACGTTATTCGGTTTCTGTCAGGTACTCAGGTGTCGCATGAAAACCTGACCCAACTTACCCGAGAGTTGCTGCAGTCATTTTTTTGAAATAAAATTACGTAATTTGAACCCCAAAAATGGCGGGTTATACTTACGTGAAGATTATTTAAAGATAAATTGTTTTCGAGTTGTGAATTTTCAAATCTTTCCTATGCTTGCAGGTATGTTTTGAGAAGTGGGAACAACGAGCATCCACTTGATCGGTTCTACAATACCACCGTGGAAGTTCTTCCCGTCGGTGTGCCAGAAAATGTTTCAAGTGTCTTTCCCAAGCTTTCGGATGGGTTCTTGGTTGTTGGTGAGTTCTCATCAAATGTTCCGTGTCATCGATGCAGTTAATGTAGGGCTTCGTTGTTCAATTGCGAACTTTTTTTCAGGTCGATTTAATGACCAGGGCATTGCAGAAGGAAACCAAACCAAGGAGCTAGGAAAAATCGAGAAAATTCGTTTGACTGTTCACGCAGAAAGCGATAAATGGGCTATTTTGAGTGAGGTGAGCAAATTGAGAAAGGCTTTCGTGCTTTTATCGAACTTAGTTAACGTGGGTGTTTTAATTTTCTTAGATATGGTTTGAAGAACTGAAGCGATGACCCAGTCCAAGACTTGAAAACTGTGTGGTGGTTGCTGAATATCCGTTGATACTCGCTGTCGATGATGATGTGTCCGAAGATGCTTTCATGGAGATCGGTTGTTCAATTCTATTTTTTTGTTTTCAAATTTTACCGCCGGACGAGTTCGTGAAATGAAGCTAGTCGCGACGAAACCAGATAAACACGAGGAAAGATTTATAAAACTAATTTTTCTTTTTGGTTTTTTTCAACACTTTCAGGGAAAGATAGCAAAACGTGTTCTAGAACAGGCTCTTGTTTTTTTAATCCCACGAATGGGTGCATTTCGCTTGAAGAACCTCGTCTGTGGTGGTGATTTTGAATTCGTGGCCATCGGTGATGTATTTTTTTGCAGGTATTAATGATCATTTCGTTCGGTACAAGACACCTTTTTTTCTTTCTTAACTAGGTTTAGATTCGCATTCCAGTTCTTCTATTTTGATGTAGATTAGATCTGGTGTGGCATGTTTCGATATATATCTGGAGTGAGATTTTAGGATTTCGAAAACTCACAATTCTTCCAAAACGTTGGAAAAATGATGGTTGATGGGAAGGTCTATTCAATTCTCCGTCCGTGTTCAGGCACTTCTGAGGTGTATTTTGAATTGTTGGGGAAGTGAGGATTTGGCTCAAATTAGGAGTATTTCTGGGGATGGATTTTTATTTTTGCGATGATTATTTCTGCAATGTCTTGAACTGAAATCAGTGAATCGTCTTGAAAGCACCCTTTTTTTCGTTGTGAAAAACTCATTCCTAAGAATAACCCCCTTTTTTTTACTTTCGTTGTTGTTCGACTGATCGTAGTCTTTTTCCATATTTTTCTGGATTCCTCTGCTTCCAAGAAAGTAAAGGCATTCGTTAGATGCTTTAAGGAAGTGCTCGAACCTTGCAAAACTATTTTATCTTGCCATGACCTCGTCTATGTCGTTTAATAGCCATTGTTTTCTTCGCTGTGCTGATGAAACGATTTTTTTTGGTGGTGAGCTTGAGATGCAATACGTTTGTCTTACTGTGAAGAAGCCTTGTCGCATTCATTTAAAGTGTTCTTGCTTTTGTGTGTCATCCACCTCCACAGCTTGCAGCATGTACAATTTGCTGCCATCAACCATATTCAAAAAATATTTTTGAGGAGATTACAGTATTTTTATGTTTGAGTGAATGGCAGGATTTTTTCTTATAAAGGTGGACTCTCTCTACATGGATCTTGTCTAAATACATCCATTTTCTATGTAGTATGGAACATTTTGAGTTGGTCCTGTATGGAGGTCTCTATACCCATCTTACAAGTGTTCTTCACAACACAATCATCTGTAGATTGCTTTTCTTTTCTGGCCCCCAGGATTTCATTACGCAATTAAATAAGGAATCAAACATGAGACTGTCTCCTAGCTTGTGGCTGGATTATGATAATCTCTCTTCAGATAATTATGAATGAACGAAATTTATTGATGACAAAGGGAAGCCGTTTCTAATTGTGTAAGTTGTAAATGTCAGTATGAAGCGTTTTTGTTCAGTTTAGGATGAAAAGTGCAGATCTGGACCTTCAAGATGAAAGTATAGGAACAATATACTGTAGTGCAAATCGTACTGCAGCAGGGATAGATCCTGTGCTTTCATCGAATCCATATTGAGATGACGTTATTGACGCAAACTTTTCCATATTATATTTACTGTAATGTGTATGGGATAAGATAATGGCTGAAGTTCATGCAAATTTTCTGGTGGTTGGGTATAAAACTTATATTCGTACCTGATGGATGTACAATTCACAGTACAAGGGATGTTTGCAGCTCTGCTTGAGAAATAAATACTTCTAAGGCTAGCAAAAATGTTTTTGAAATTCATAATTTTGATTATGATGTTTTGAATTTTTTAATTCTGCCCATGATGTTTTATGTTTTAAAATTTAAACTTCATTTATTAGCTTTTTTCTAGATTTCACAGACAGCCCAGTACAGCCCTGCATGAAGAAAATTTAGAGATTTATTGGTGTGGTCAGTGCTGGTTTCCACTCCTTGCTAACTGATCTGTAAGTATTTACGACACGTGAAAATTGAAAATTTGTTCTTGTTTGAAATAAAGTACTTTGGTGTATTATTTTTCTTCTTGCGGAATGTTAAACATTTTTGAAAGATGTGTAATGTACTGGTATGATGTTTTGAAAATCTGAAAAAAATACTAGAAACCTTCTTTAACATCATTTGAGGAAGATTATGAATTTTTGTTGTACATTTTTACAAAGGTAGAAATATTTTTACTTATGAAGAAATGGCTAGTTCGTGTTAACTCCATGATCCAGAATGCTGCAGCATTATTTCAAGATAAGTTAAATGCACAGTTTTACTTCCATCAGGATCTTCAGAAATCCTCCACTCTTCACGTATGGCATATTGCAGAATTATAAATATTGCTGTGTTTCATGCACCGAAATAAAGGACAATCGAGCTCAGCTGAAATATTGGTATTTATCGATTCTTCCATAAATATAATAAATAAAGGATCACAAAATTCACGAAGCTGCGCAGAGATCACACGAGATTTCGACAATCAATGCCAAAATATCAATAAAACTTGTGCCCTTCGATATTGTTTGAATGCGTCATCAACTCGCCGAGGAATGCTGATGGTTGAATGTTTGGGCTTGCTCATGAGTCAGGGTTTCTTCACCAATCATCCTCATCATCAGATGAGGAGGAAGATGATGAGCTTGGCTCGAAACTGAAAATGTAAAAGATCATAAAAATAAATTGTGATCATCCGTGAAAAAATTCGTAATCCAAATATACACTCCGATGAGTACCTTCCATACATAAATCTTACTTTCCTTTCGAAAATCACGCATCATTCAAGTTTTTCTTCTTTTTCACTTCGAGCAGTTCTAACAGGTCTTGACAACTTTTCAACGATGGTTCTTTGTGATAATTTAATGCTAAACATTATTGCTGGTTCCAGACTTCCAGCATAAAGCAGAGTACAGTACTGCAAATATAATTTCAGTTATGCGATGAATGATCTTCTACAGATGTCACTGAATTCTAAAAATCTGCTTGTCATTTTCAAGATTTGGATACTGAGCACAAGAATCATATAAGACTTTTTCTTAAATCAAAAAATGATTTCGGGACTTCTTAATTTTTTACAAATCATGAGGAACCTATACAAGAATCTATAATTTTGGGCTTTGAATTCATAATAATTTGACTAGATGTCACTACTCAATGATGAAGCTGAATGAATTCCTTGCCTGCTTTGATTAAATTTTCCTACGTCAGTTATCTTACGAATAACCGCAGTTTCACATGTTCCTATGTAAAAAATATATCGCCGATTTAATCATAATAAATATATACTTTACAGTATGTGAAAGTTCTGTAAAAGTTTCGATGTATATAGGCAATGTCAGACTCACTCATCATCATGATGAGGTCGTTTCATCATGTTCATCATCTCGTACGATGGATATTCGTCATCGTCATCTTGTTCCTCAGACACTTCATAGTACTTGTGCTGTTTGCTTGGCTTCTGTGACTGCTTGTAAGAGTTCTTCTTATTGTTGCCGCCATTATTCATATTGGAGTATCCCGTCATGGGATAACTGTCTTCTGATTCTTCATCGTAACTGTTTTGCTGCTGCTGCTGCTGGTAATGGTTGCCTTGGTCAAATCTGGTTGGATGTTGCTTCTTGTTCTTGTTGTTGTTGCCCTTTTTGTAGTAACTGCTGCTCATCATTGGACCTGCTGAACCACTGCTGGATGAATCGCTAAAGTCTCCTTCGCTGCTCATGGGAATCACAGTTTCTTCGGGTCTTTCGTAAGAGGTTGAAGGTCTTTCGTAGGAAGACTCGGGTTTTCCGTAGGAAGGTTCGGGTTTTCCGTAGGAAGGTTCGGGTTTTCCGTAGGAAGGTTCAGGTTTTCCATAGGAAGGTTCATGGCTGTTGTAGGATGATTCGGGTTTGGATGGGTAAGAAGGTTCATAGCTGTTGTAGGATGATTCGGGTTTGGATGGGTAAGAAGGTTCGAACTTGGTGTAGGAAGGTTCGGGCTTGTTGTAGGAAGGTTCGGGTTTGTTGTAAGAGGGCTCGGGTTTGTTGTAAGAAGGCTCAGGTTTGTTGTAAGATGGTTCGGGTTTGTTATAAGATGGTTCGGGTTTTTTGTAAGAAGGTTCGGGCTTGTTGTAGGAAGTCTGCTGATGCTGGGGCTTATTATTGTTGTAAGAAGACTCGGGCTTGTTATTATTGTAAGATTGCTGAGGCTTTGCGTAGGCAGGTTCAGGCTTCGAGTACTTCTCGGGTTTTGTGTAAGAAGCGTATTTGCTGGTGCTGGTTTGATACTGCTCTTGTTGCTGCTGTGGTGATCTGTAGAAAAAAGAAGAAGAAGAAATTATTTACACGTCTGAAAATATACAACAATAATTACATGAAATTATCTTTTTAATTCCTTCGAAAAATCTTTAAAAATCAATCGATGCATATGTGTTGCAATTCTTTCACAGGCGTTAGATTCCTCCATTCGCAAAGATGCATAAATTAAAATTTGAACACCAGAGTAAGACGTGATACTTCATTCATAGGACATTTTATTTCGATATTAGCGAAGCCTCTCCGAAAGCAAAATTATGGCATTAAAGTCACAGACTTCAAGGTGTAATTTGATATTTTTCAAACTAAAACATACCGATTCTCCTCATCAAATTCGTAAAGCCGATAAAAAAATTAAAAATCCAATGCTCAAAATCGAGATGCTCTTTGTTGTGTTTTTTTGTGCGCTAATTTTTTGGGAATAACTTTGTTTTTGCAAGTAAATCTATCTGTGAAAAAAATCGTAAATTTAGCATGGAAGTCTTAAGATTTCGAAAATTAATTCCTCGAATACCAGAGCAAACATATTTAAAAGTCAAATCATAAGCGGCAATTATTTGCATCATGAATCACAGTAATGCATCCTTTACAAAAACGTTGCCATCTATTTATTTCAGATCACAAACATCAATGCAGTGATGTCTCCCATTTCCCAATGTCTTCAACGTTTACACTTTTGATATACTGTAATGTTTGTTTAAATAAAGTCCATTTTAAAATTTCAAAAATCAGCTTGAACTCATTAAACAAAAGAATCCGCCGTATTTTTTGCTTATGAACACAAGGCGCTTGAAATACTGAAGTTTAAAAGCATCGGGTTCGTCAAAACTGTAACGGTTCTCAGCCTTTAGAAATCGTTTCCCTCTTTGAAAATATAAAGTTGATAAAACATAAATGAATTACCGATAATTGTTGCCGGACGAATATTTATTCGTGTTCACGTCGTCGTCGCTCACTTTGATCGAAGCTCCGACAACAGCATACTTATCCTGATTGTTCAATTCCAATGGCTTCTGTCGTTGATTTTCCTGGCTAAAATTCCAAACGAAAAGCGGGAAAAGTGTAAGAAAAAAGCCTCTTACCCGGAGAAATTGAAAACTAATTTAAAAGTCAATTACGGATAATATGATTGAGCTTCTGGTTTCGGCGCTGCGAGTGTGGAGTCGAGAAATACCGCGACGACAAAGAAGGTCAGTGGAATCTGCAAAAGAAAAATCAATGAAATCCTTTCATATCAGCACCCACTGCCAATAATTGATCATTTAACGAGAAAATTCAAAGCTTGAAAAAAAAATAATTAGCCTCACCTTCGCGAAGAGTTGCATTTTCGTCAGGTGTAAAATATTTTCCGGATGAAAAACTCTTTTCTTCTGAAAAAATACATTGGGGAGATTTATTTATATAAATTAGCACGTTGAGCGAAAGGGTTTCAACTCCACTGAATCACTTCTCAATTCTTTCTCAGTCATCACCAATTCAAACAACGTTTTCCAAATATGAGTGGAATATTTCACATCAAATTGAAGCCATTTTTTTGCTGTTGCTGTTGTTGTTCGCACAATGAAGAGTGGCTTACGACTGATACCAAGAAACAAGCAGAGTTTGAATTTATATACGCGCAAGTTCCGCGCAAAAGATTATACGTAGCACCACCGCAAAAAGCGACGATGAAGACTTTTTTTTTTTTGCGTTGTGTACATCTAATCACCTCCACATATGTTGCTCATTATAGTCGCTTCTTTTTCTTCTCTTATTTTCCTTCTCACACAATCATGTGGTCTGTTCCTTCGTCGTCTTCTTCTTCTCATTTGAACATGTTCGTGTGTTCATCTTCGACCTCGGATGAAATTCACGGTCGAAGGGGGAAACGTATCAGTGCTTCTCTCTATATTATTGGGGGCTCAGGTCCTCTAAATTCTGCTTCCTCCCCCCATTCGTAAGTTTTTCCGGAAACTGCTGTTATTTGGCCGTGAGAATGAAGGTGCGAAGAATTAATTAATCATGTAATTCTGGCGTCGTAGAAATTTTCGAGGAACTTTCGTTATTTTCCCCCGCCTCGAGTCGTTGTTCCAAGGACTCGACTGTCATCTCTCAACGTCTGCAAGTGCGAGAAATCTAGAAAAGGGGAAAATTTGAGCACTTTGACTAATTTCCTTTGTTCTTTCAGCACGCAGGGCAAAAATGAAGTTTATAATTGCATCCGATGGTGGGGTTCTCTGCAGTGGGATGATGAGAAAATGCGAAGAATTGTCAACAAAAAGAAAAATTGTATGTATATGTTCTATGTTGGCGAAGTCGTGGAATTTGAGACCTGGATTATCCAAAGTCATCGCGTTTAAAAATATCCAAAGATTATAAGTTGTGATCATCGATTGCTCCTCAATTGTGATTCCCATGTAAGGAGAATTCAGCTGAGAATAAAACTTGGATATTACCCAATCAACGACTGTCAATCCAAGAGCCTTCAGATCGTCTCTTGTCAAAGTTCGATACAAAATTACAAACAAACGTATCGAGAAGATAAAAACCTTGGATTTTTTGTTTTCTTTGTTGGTTGGATATCTTTAACATAGATGTTGTCACATAAATCATAATATGCGAGGTCAAATGCTGCACAAAAACGATTTAACGGGATTCAATCTCATTTGATTTTTTCCTAAGTACAATTCGAGGCCGAAATATCGAGGGGCTCGTGCTGTTCATATATATATACAGTATACCTTTGGCATATGAAAAATGTCCGAGCAAAAATTGGCAGAAATAATGAGCATCAAAACAAAAATTATCCTAACGACCTGCTGAATACGAAGACTTCATCGGAAATTGTGATTCGTCGCTAAAAAAAACAACTAAATAAAACTTTTGTTCATTTTTCTCATGTTGCGTAAGTGTTCTCAGCACAGCTGAAAATACAAGACTATAACCTAAAATCAAGTATTAATCAATTTCTGGTTTTATTTAATATCGAACCAAAACATGAAATTTACAATGAAAACCTGTTATGTTTTGACAAAGGCTTGATGAGTTCTGCCTAGCTCAAGTTTTGCAATTCTAATGGGAATATGAGTTAAGAATGTATGAGATAATGACACATTATAGCTACATTTGGGATGTGACAAAAACTTGACAAAACTTTGCATTGATTGAACTAATTTTGCTAATCGTGCAGCCAGTAAAAGGTATCAATTAAAGAAATTATGCTCATGGATGGACAAATAAACTTCCCGGTATGCAGATATTGAGATTTTTTAATGGTGCACATTCTATTGAAAATTCGAGGAGGTTTGTTAAAAAGTTATTTTTCAAAGCGAAAGGTTCAAAGTCAAGCCTCAAACGATTCCTATCCACGATTTCCGTAATTTTAAAAAGTTCTTCGAACAAACTCGATAATGGTGACAAAGAAATTCTCATTTCTAAGTGTTATTTCTGGATAATCATGATGTCAACAATTTGAGCAGTTGAATGATCATTATACTGACGAATCACCGGTTGAGAGCCCACGAAACATTAAGACTTCCTGTCATCAACTTGAACACCGGATTCAAGTCAGAACAACCGGAAGTCATCACACTTCCGGAACTGAAATTATCCTCAGGGAACTGATGCGGCTTATTGCATGCATTTTTTTTACTTTAAGAAAATAAATGCTGATGGTTCATTCACATCACATAATCAAGTTATTATGATGGGTATTAGCATGCAATTGTATCAGCTGAAATTTCAGTCATCGTGGAAAATTCTGTTCGCAAACCCAAATATTGTACGCGGAAGTTGATATGTTCTTGATTTTGAAAAAATCCATATATTATTCCTATCTCATCACGGAAAGAAGTGAAACTTCTGGAAAATGTGATGGAATACTAAAAAATGATCCGAACTATAATCCAGACTATGAAATATCCTGTATTTCAACACATGATTAAATTTTAAAATTCGATTCTATCGGTGAAACAGCCGCGGAAGACTCTTGTTAATTACTCTTCCGTATTTAAATTACGAATGTTTGAATGTATTTTTAATCTTGGAGAAAATGAATGATTAAGTTTTTTGTAAGAAGGTTCGGGCTTGTTGTAGGAAGTCTGCTGATGCTGGGGCTTATTATTGTTGTAAGAAGACTCGGGCTTGTTATTATTGTAAGATTGCTGAGGCTTTGCGTAGGCAGGTTCAGGTTTCGAGTACTTCTCGGGTTTTGTGTAAGAAGCGTATTTGCTGGTGCTGGTTTGATACTGCTCTTGTTGCTGCTGTGGTGATCTGTAGAAAAAAGAAGAAGAAATTATTTACACGTCTGAAAATATACAACAATAATTACATGAAATTATCTTTTTAATTCCTTCGAAAAATCTTTGAAAATCGATCGATGCATATGTTTTGCAATTATTTCACAGGCGTTAGATTCCTCCATTCGCAAATATGTATAAATTGAAATTTGAACACCAGAGTAAGACGTGATAATTCATTTATAGGACATTTTACTTCGATATTAGCGAAGCCTCTCCGAAAGCAAAATTATGGCATTAAAGTCACAGACTTCAAGGTGTAATTTGATATTTTTCAAACTAAAACATACCGTTTCTCCTCATCAAATTCGTAAAGCCGATAAAAAAAATTAAAAATCCAATGCTCAAAATCGAGATGCTCTTTGTTGTGTTTTTTTTGCGCTAATTTTTTGGGAATAACTTTGTTTTTGCAAGTAAATCTATCTGTGAAAAAAATCGTAAATTTAGCATGGAAGTCTTAAGATTCCGAAAATTAATTCCTCGAATACCAGAGCAAACATATTTAAAAGTCAAATCATAAGCGGCAATTATTTGCCTCATGAATCACAGTAATGCATCCTTTACAAAAACGTTGCGATCTATTTATTTCAGATCACAAACATCAATGCAGTGATGTTTCCCATTTCCCAATGTCTTCAACGTCAACACTTTTGATATACTGTAATGTTTGTTTAAATAAAGTCCATTTTAAAATTTCAAAAATCAGCTTGAACTCGTTAAACAAAAGAATCCGCCGTAATTTTTGCTTATGAACACAAGGCGCTTGAAATACTGAAGTTTAAAAGCATCGGGTTCGTCAAAACTGTAACGGTTCTCAGCCTTTAGAAATCGTTTCCCTCTTTGAAAATATAAAATTGATAAAACATAAATGAATTACCGATAATTGTTGCCGGACGAATATTTATTCGTGTTCACGTCGTCGTCGCTCACTTTGATCGAAGCTCCGACAACAGCATACTTATCCTGATTGTTCAATTCCAATGGCTTCTGTCGTTGATTTTCCTGACTAAAATTCCAAACGAAAAGCGGGAAAAGTGTAAGAAAAAAAAGCTCTTACCCAGAGAAATTGAAAACTAATTTAAAAGTTAATTACGGATAATATGATTGAGCTTCTGGTTTCGGCGCTGCGACTGTGAAGTCGAGAAATACCGCGACGACAAAGAAGGTCAGTGGAATCTGCAAAAGAAAAATCAATGAAATCCTTTCATATATCAGCACCAACTGCCAATAATTGATCATTTAAAGAGAAAATTCAAAACTTGAAAAAATAACAATAATTAGCCTCACCTTCGTAAAGAGTTGCATTTTCGTCAGCTAGGTGTAAAATATTTCCGGATGAGAAAATCTTTTCTTCTGAAAAAAAAAACATTGGGGACATTTAAATAAATTAACACGTTGAGCGAAAGCGTTTCAACTTCACTGAATCACTTCTCAATTCTTTCTCAGTCATCACCAAATCAAACAACGTTTTCCAAATATGAGTGGAATATTTCACATCAAATTGAAGCCATTTTTTTTGCTGTTGCTGTTGTTGTTCGCACAATGAAGAGTGGTTGACGACTGATACCAAGAAACAAGCAGAGTTTGAATTTATATACGCGAGAAAAGTTCCGCGCAAAAGATTATACGTAGCACCACCGCAAAAAGCGACGATGAAGACTCTTTATTTTCCTTGTGTATACATCTAATCACCTCCACATATGTTGCTCATTATAGTCGCTTCTTTTTCTTCTCTTATTTTCCTTCTCACACAATCATGTGGTCTGTTCCTTCGTCGTCTTCTTCTTCTCATTTGAACATGTTCGTGTGTTCATCTTCGACCTCGGATGAAATTCACGGTCGAAGGGGGAAACGTATCAGTGCTTCTCTCTATATTATTGGGGGCTCAGGTCCTCTAAATTCTGCTTCCTCCCCCCATTCGTAAGTTTTTCCGGAAACTGCTGTTATTTGGCCGTGAGAATGAAGGTGCGAAGAATTAATTAATCATGTAATTCTGGCGTCGTAGAAATTTTCGAGGAACTTTCGTTATTTTCCCCCGCCTCGAGTCGTTGTTCCAAGGACTCGACTGTCATCTCTCAACGTCTGCAAGTGCGAGAAATCTAGAAAAGGGGAAAATTTGAGCACTTTGACTAATTTCCTTTGTTCTTTCAGCACGCAGGGCAAAAATGAAGTTTATAATTGCATCCGATGGTGGGGTTCTCTGCAGTGGGATGATGAGAAAATGCGAAGAATTGTCAACAAAAAGAAAAATTGTATGTATATGTTCTATGTTGGCGAAGTCGTGGAATTTGAGACCTGGATTATCCAAAGTCATCGCGTTTAAAAATATCCAAAGATTATAAGTTGTGATCATCGATTGCTCCTCAATTGTGATTCCCATGTAAGGAGAATTCAGCTGAGAATAAAACTTGGATATTACCCAATCAACGACTGTCAATCCAAGAGCCTTCAGATCGTCTCTTGTCAAAGTTCGATACAAAATTACGAACAAACGTATCGAGAAGATAAAAACCTTGGATTTTTTGTTTTCTTTGTTGGTTGGATATCTTTAACATAGATGTTGTCACATAAATCATAATATGCGAGGTCAAATGCTGCACAAAAACGATTTAACGGGATTCAATCTCAATTGATTTTGTCCAAAGTACGATTCGAGGCCGAAATGTCGAGGGGCTCGTGCTGTTCATATATATATACAGTATACCTTTGGCATATGAAAAATGTCCGAGCAAAAATTGGCAGAAATAATGAGCATCAAAACAAAAATTATCCTAACGACCTGCTGAATACGAAGACTTCATCGGAAATTGTGATTCGTCGCTAAAAAAAACAACAACTTAAATAAAACTTTTGTTCATTTTTCTCATGTTGCGTAAGTGTTCTCAGCACAGCTGAAAATACAAGACTATAACCTAAAATCAAGTATTAATCAATTTCTGGTTTTATTTAATATCGAACCAAAACATGAAATTTACAATGAAAACCTGTTATGTTTTGACAAAGTCTTGATGAGTTCTGCCTAGCTCAAGTTTTGCAATTCTAATGGGAATATGAGTTAAGAATGTATGAGATAATGACACATTATAGCTACATTTGGGATGTGACAAAAACTTGACAAAACTTTGCATTGATTGAACTAATTTTGCTAATCGTGCAGCCAGTAAAAGGTATCAATTAAAGAAATTATGCTCATGGATGGACAAATAAACTTCCCGGTATGCAGATATTGAGATTTTTTAATGGTGCACATTCTATTGAAAATTCGAGGAGGTTTGTTAAAAAGTTATTTTTCAAAGCGAAAGGTTCAAAGTCAAGCCTCAAACGATTCCTATCCACGATTTCCGTAATTTTAAAAAGTTCTTCGAACAAACTCGATAATGGTGACAAAGAAATTCTCATTTCTAAGTGTTATTTCTGGATAATCATGATGTCAACAATTTGAGCAGTTGAATGATCATTATACTGACGAATCACCGGTTGAGAGCCCACGAAACATTAAGACTTCCTGTCATCAACTTGAACACCGGATTCAAGTCAGAACAACCGGAAGTCATCACACTTCCGGAACTGAAATTATCCTCAGGGAACTGATGCGGCTTATTGCATGTATTTTTTTTACTTTAAGAAAATAAATGCTGATGGTTCATTCACATCACATAATCAAGTTATTATGATGGGTATTAGCATGCAATTGTATCAGCTGAAATTTTCGTCATCATGGAAAATCCCCTTCGCAAACCCAAATACGCGGAAGTTGATATGTTCTTGATTTTGAAAAATTCATATATTATTCCTATCTCATCACGGAAAGAAGTGAAACTTCTGGAAAATGTGATGGAATACTAAAAAATGATCCGAACTTTAATCAAGACTATGAAATATCCTGTATTTTCAACCCATGATTAAATTTTAAAATTCGATTCTATCGGTGAAACAGCCGCGGAAGACTCTTGTTAATTACTCTTCCGTATTTAAATTACGAATGTTTGAATGTATTTTTAATCTTGGAGAAAATGAATGATTACTCATTACGTTGAATTATTGGGTATTTTTGACGGATAATGCTGCAGTTGGTCCAGCTCAAGCATATAGACAGGAAAATCCCTGTCAGGCACGCGTGACTTAACTAGGTAATATCCGTTAATTAAAATAAATCAAGAATCTCAATTTGAAATATGGAAATCTCATTTCAAAGGATAATTTAGCCGGAAATATTGTATTCCTTTTTTTAGTACATATCTAATCCCACATTGCTGCTAGTCTACTTGATTTTTCAGAATGTATACCTTCAGATTATTTCTTGTCCAGTTTGTTGCAGAATTCCAAAAAAAGATATCTAAAAGAAATAACCTCTGGTTATATTTTTGTTGTCTTTGATTATTGAATGCCTTCAACTTTAATTTTGCCCCAATAATCATATTACAGCAGGAGAATCGGGATATAATGAATAATTGCTTACAACAAAGTCGTCTTTTTAGGTCCGTGCCAGACAGACACAATAATGAGTACTTCATGACGATTTTTTCATTACAACGAAGGTATTTTACTGTTTCCGAGGGTTTTTTTTTGTAACGAGATTTTATTGAAGTCAAAAGCTGCGAACAAACATGAGGAATTTAGAATTTAGTATTATTGTGTGTGTTTTTTTTTCCTCGATATTACGATTGTAAAAAAAAATAAAAAACCCGAGGGGCTTCGAAGATTCATGTATTTTATTTGAAGCATTCATACAGGGATTGAAAAATATCATGAGACAAATGAATCCGAGTTCGGTCTTTCACAAAATATCCCGACCAGCATTTGAGTAAATTTCGATTCCAGATTCGAGGTAAAAACCACCGGAAGAATCCCGTTCATTCATCACTCTTCCGTAACTAACTGGACGTGTCCTCAGCAGAATGATAATGGTTTGCATCTAACCTCAAATCCCTCCTGTTCCACGTGTCATGACGAATTTTCCCTTCTTTCTTCTTCTACCCCTTTTTAAGCGATATTACGATCACCACACGTGTGTATTCCTTGGCATGCACAGTATTATTTCTCCCTTTTTTCTGATGCATTTTTCCTTCTTTCGTCCTCTTCTTTCGCCCATTTTTAAGCAATATTACGATCACCACACGTGTGTATATTTTTTGGCATGCGCAGTATTATTTCTCCATTTTTTTCTGATGCATTCTTCCTTCCTTCCTTCCTTCCTTCCTTCCTTCTTCTTCTTCTTCTTCCTCTACCCCTTTTTAAGCAATATTACGATCACAATATACACGTGTGTTCCTTAGCAATTAATACAGTATTATTTCCCCCTTTTTTTATTTTTCCTGTGAGTATATAGCGGGTGATGGAGATGTGTCAAATTGAAGTGACCACGTACGTGAGCCGCAAAGCGTTCATGACCGTGAGCCTGCAACAGGGAACCGAGCTTTTCGTCTCTCATCCCCGAGGTCGACTCGAGTCTCTCGTCGGGATTGATAACTTTTGCACCTGGCTTCGTCCTTTTCTTTTTTGCTTTCACGGGATTTCTCATACGTTTATAATACTGTACAGTATTTTCTANCAGTATTTATAGATAGATGTACATGGTTTACTTTGTTTTTTAGAAAGGGTTTTCTCGGTGGTGTCTGTGCGAAATTTGCCCAATAATGAGCCCGACGATATATAAAGTTGGTGCCCGGGTCCGGAAAGCATTCATCAGCAGCGCAGTGAATAAAAGCAAATGAAAGCACCCGCTTTTTTAATTTCCTGTGTGTGTTTACGATAGACACTATATAAACATGAAAAAAATCGAAATGTGACTGTTTCTTCAACTTGGGAACGAAAGGGGGGAAATGAAAGGCTGGGTTTTAACGCGTTTTTTGTTGTTGTGGAAAATGGTGAATTTTTGAAATTACCGGTTATAGAACCGTCGCAGTATTCTTCCAGCAAAGTAATCTGATATGATGTTTCGTATCTATGATTTAGAGGGAGAAAAATAAGCAATTTTGGTTTACGAGACACTGTAAACATAAGACAATTGAAATGTGACTGTTTCTTCAACTTGACATCGAAAGGGGAGAAATGAAAGGCTGAGTTTTAATGCGTTTTTTTTCTTCTGGAAAATTTGTGAATTTTAAAAATTACCGCATAGAACCGGCGCAGTAAAATAATTTGATATGATGTTTCGTATCTATGATGTAGAGAAAAAGAAGCAATTTGGAAGAAAATATTTTCTGGGGAATTTTATTAGTTTTTGGATTGGCTTTTATTGTGGAGACGATAAAATAGGATCCTGCGTATTTCAAAGTGACGTACTGCCGATGTTTTCAAGAAATTTTAACGTTTTTTTCTTGAAAATAGACGCAATTTAAAACATTTTTTGATTAATTTTACA